ATGGCAAAAGAGAAATTAATGAAAAGGTAGGGGCGAAAAATCAAGCAACACAATGAATAGTGAATCCAAGTCTAAAATAATAGTAAATGTCTTGGTTCTTTAGTTTTTTTCCTACTAATATATATTAAATTAAAAATAAAAGATAAAATTTTTATTTAATTTCATAATTTTAATCAAATTTTGTATTTCATTAATGATTCTTTATGTTTTTCATAGATTTTGTTGTTAAAAAAACATGATTCGTTTATTTTATTCATTCATTCTTAAATAAAAACCTATAATAATATAAATATAAAATTTTTAAAAATATCTTAATATTTTTTATAAGACTACATCGGATAAATATATCAACAATCAATATAAAAATTAACTAATGAATCTTTTAAAACTTTTTAAAAATATGTACATTTGATATATAGACACACATGCACACAAAACAATCAATAATATTAGGTATAAAAATATTTTTTTGAATTATTAGATGGTTCTTTTAAAATATTATTTTATTTAAAATAAATTAAATTTAGAATATTACAAATAATTAATATAAAATAGCTGGTGTTATATGTGTAGAAGCATAATTAATTTTTAATAAAATCAATGATCTCAATACTTTTTTGTATATATCATTACTATACTATGTACAAATTAAAAATATATATATTTGAAAAAAATAAGTTGTAAGAAATATATTAAAGTTAATAGAGTGTAATAAAAATAATTTTATTCCAAAAAAAATTGATTTTATCAAGAATGAGGTAAAGAACACATGAATTCTATTATTTATTAAAAAAATATTAAAAATTAATACATAGAGAAAGATAAATCATATGTATTAACAAATAAAATTTCATAAAATAAAAATTAATTTGATGAGACTTTTTGTAATAAATGACAAATTTAAGAGATTAATTTTAATCAATAAAAAGATATAATCCGATATATGTGTTTGTTCTAAAGTCTAAAAACATAAGAGGCCAAAAAAATCTTTAAAAAATATGATGAACAAAAAATATATTTTGAAAAAATGTGAGACAAAAATGGACTAAGTCTAAAATAATAGTAAATGAATAGTAAATATCTGAGTTCTTTTAGTTTTTTCTACTAATATATATTAAATTAAAAATAAAAGATAAATTTTTTATTTAATATCATAATATTTAATCAAATTTTGTATTTCATTTGTGCTTCTTTATAGTTTTTCATAGATTTTGTTGTTAAAAAAACACGAGTTATTTTTTTTATTCATTCGTTCTTCAATAAAAACCTACAATAATATAAATTTAAATTTAAAACAAAAATATCTTAATATTGTTTTTTATAAGACTACATTGGAGAAATATATCAACAATCAATATAAAATTTGACCAATGAATCTTTTTAAACTTTTTAAAAATAAGTACATTTGATATATAGGCACACAATCACGCACACAAAACAATCCATAATATTAGGTATAAAAACATATATTTGAATTATTAAGTGGTTCTTTTAAAATAGTATTTTATTGAAAATAAATTAAATTTAGAATATTAAAAATAATTAATAGGAAATAGTTAGTGTTATATGTGTAGATGCATAATTAATTTTTAATAAAATCAATGATCTCAATACTTTTTGTACACATCATTACCATACTCTATACAAATTAAAAAATGTATTTAAAAAAACTTAAATTGTAAGAAATATATTAAAGTTAATAAAGTGAATAAAAATAATTTAAAATTTTATTCCAAAAAAATGATTATATCAAGAATAAGATAAAGAAACACGTGAATTTATTATTTATTAAAAAAACATATTCAAAATTCATACATAGAGAAAGATAAATCATATTTATTAACAACTAAAATTTTATAAAAAATAAAAATTTAATTTGATGAGAATTTTTATAACAAACGAAAAATTTAAGAGATTAATTTTAATCAATAAAAAAATATAATCCGATATATGTGTTTGTTCTAAAATTTAAAAACATAAGAAGTAAAAAACATCTTTTAAAAATATGAGGAACAAAAAATATATTTTAAAAAAATATGAGACAAAAATGGATTAAATTAAAAACATGAGATGTCAAAATATTTTTTAAAATATGAGGATTTAAAAATACATTTTGAAAACATAAAGAACCACAAAGGAATGAAGTGTAAATTTTGAAAATAAATGCCCAAAAACTATAAGAAAATTATGAAAATGACATTGTAAGAAATTATAAAACTGTCACTCTAATGAATAGTGAAATAGGATAAATGAATAGTATTTATCTCTTTTTTTTTTAAGTTTTTTACCTAATAATTACAATATTTTCCACTTGAATCAATTCTTTTTGAGGAGGTTAGGGTTTTTTAGTACAACGTCATCGTAGAATTTAAATCATGGTTGAACAATCGACGACCTGCGCATCTCAACTACTACACCATGCACGGTGAATTAGTTTTGTTATCTCTATTTACATTCTAGGTTTAAATTTTCCGGTCAACATAATGGAAAATAGATGTAAAAAAATGTGTTATTAAAATTATTTTCGGAAAAACTTGATCTTAGTATAAAAACTACCTTGATAATATATTCTTATCATCAAGTCAAAGGAATTTAATAAAACTTTCGTAAATTCCAACTCTTTGATTAATCCCCCTAGACTAATTCAAGATTTAAAATATATATATATATCAAGCAAACTCCTTAACTTAACCTCTTTGAATTTCAGTCTCTCATTTCAACAATGTTTTTTATATATATATTTATAGATAATGAAATATTTTCGAATCAATTTTTTTATCAATTGAAATTAAGTTCATCATTTTTTAGACTAAACAAACAGTATAAAATGTTTAGTCTTTACTCCATCGCTAGACTCTATTTTAAATTAAATGAACCCAAATCCAATACTATTAATTAAAAAATAATTATAAAAAATTATTTGTAGATAATAATAATTGAATTTTTATACTCATCAGATCAAAAACAACTCTCACTGCAATCCTTGGTAATTTTAACTTGTTTAAAAAATGTTCTGATATCGAGTTGTACGCGCGCGCGTACAACTAGCAGAAATCCAGGATCAATAGAACAAGGACAAGGTAGGTAGTTATGAACTGACCATCCAGCTTGGATGCTAAAATATCTGTTGCTCATTGCTTTATGTTCTTTGTTTGCAAACAAAAAGCTAGCAGTGTGAAGCTGATAGAGGGAGGGAGATGGTTGGACCAGAGAGACCACAGTTTATGTTGTTTGGGTCCTCTATTGTTCAACAGAGTTTTCGCAATGGAGGATGGGGTGCCATTCTTGCTGACGTATACGCTCGCAAGGTATTTCTATTTTATAAATCTATCCTTTTTTTTACCTTCCCTTCTTTGATGATTTTGGTTTCAGTTATGTGTCTCTTTTGGTGATCAGCAACCATTCTTCGTGGCACCAAACGTTAGTCTTTTATGTTGTTTCTGTGAAGCTGAAGATGGTGGAACCAAGATTTGAACTTTATTCTGATTGTTTGTTTCAAACTAGATCGGCTAAATTAATATTAATGTTGTTGTTTCTTTCTTCCTTTTGAGTTTTAATCTTTTTTGGACAAGTGTAGGGAATTTCGTTAATCATATACAACAATACTTCAAGCCTAGAAGTAAAGAAGTACATGCAGAACTTGAAGCTAAAATTTGTAAGCAAAAAAGATAAGAAAATAACCTAAGATACTACCACTTTTGCAGGAGTCACTTCCAAAACACCAATCAGAATCATCTTGCATTGAGAGGGATTAGGCCCAATATTCTCGTAGAGATTTGCTTGAATATTCCGTTTTAGATTCTCAAATCTTGCTGCACAATCTTTTACTTAACTTTTGGTTTTTAATAATCTTGAAGAACATTTTCAGGATCATTTCTGAAGTTTTGGTTTATGAATTTTAATTAATCGTAACGAACATTTTCAAGATTATTTCTTATCTCTCTTTTGCTTTTTGCACAATCACGACTCTGACATCTAGTAGTGAAGCTTCAACCATTTATCACGGATCTCTTAAGAATTTGGATCTCATATTAGTGTGCAATTGACACAGGCAGACGTAGTTCTGCGAGGATATGGAGGTTGGAATTCAACAAATGCTTTGCAGATTCTTGATCAAGTTTTTCCTAAGGTATCTTACATGGGTTTATCCCACATTTGGATTTCAATTGTTTTTATGAGAAACTCTATTTTTTTTAACTTGATTGATATTTTGTTATTTTTCAAGATTTTTTCATTTAAATTTTTTGTTATAACCCTATCAATAATACTCCCTCTCAACTATTCAAGATTTTTTATTTTACAATATTAAGTATCAATTACTAATTAATAATATTATAACAAAAAATCTAAAACAATAAATTTAAAAAAAATAAAGGGTTTCAATCAGATTAAAAAAATATATAAATTCTTAATAAAAAAATTCAAAGAATATAGGGTTTAAATGTAAGAAAAACTCTATCTTATATATCTATTGCCTTATCAATTTAAATCCATATACAATTCAATGGATGAATAGCCTTTTTTAATTAATCTCTTCATTGTTTATTTGAAATCTTGCATTAATATCCCTACATATTGTTAAAGCCACTTTTCTTGCATCTAGCACTTGGTTGATCAGCTAGCTTTCCATACTTTTCCTTTTATCATTCTTAAATGGCTCATAGAAAAAATTCTTATCCTGTAATTAGGTATACTAGGACACTGACGTTCTGCTGTTGTTCTTGATCAAGGATGCTACTGTGCAACCTTCATTGGTTATAGTTTATTTTGGAGGTAATGATTCAAAGAAGCCGAAGCCAACTGGCTTAAGTCCTCATGTACCTCTTCCTCAGTTCGTAGAAAACATGAAGAAAATTGCTACACATCTCAAGGCAATCCTTCAATCTGGGCTGAAACTATGCAATAACTAATGTCTTACTAGAAACTGAAACCATGCTGTTAGTTTAACATGTTTTTTTTTAGATTGTCAGAGCCTTTCTGATAGGACTCGAATCATCTTTCTAAGTGTCCCTCCTGCCAATGACGAAATGATCATCCAACACTACGGGTTCTGATCTATTGCTAATTTTGATTTTAGCTCCTCTTGGCGCCCGTACAAAAGTTGATGAATTCAAATCCTTGTATTTTATTTCTGAAACCAGTAAAAGTGCCGCTCGATCAAACGAGAGCGCCCGAATATATTCAGAAGCTACTTTAAAGCTGTGCCAGGAGCTGGAAGTGAAGGCCATTGATCTTTGGACCATAATGCAGCAAAAAGATGATTGGTTGACTACTTGCTTTACGTAAGTTGATTTAGTTAGCTTTGAGCTTAAATATTTCAAGTCTGCCATAGTAAAAACCAGCTAAAGTTTATTTTTGTATTGCCAATTGTTCACTTGGATTGGTGTTTTTTTATCATCAGCGATGGAATTCATCTTGCAGCAGAGGGGAGCAAAATAGTGGCAAATGAGATATTGAGGGTCCTTGAAGAGGCAGAGTGGGAACCAAGCCTTCATTGGAAGCTAATGCCATTTGAATTTGTACGAATTACACCATTTGATTCAGCAGGTGATGGGACCAACATAAATGGAAGATCTTAACTGTTATGGGAATGAGACGCCACCCCATGAATCAATCATTTCCTTTGGCTATGTATCATCACCTTTCTATGGTGCATTCAAAGCCACGACTGGAGAGCATATCTATTCAACAAACATGAAAAATATTATAGAAACTGTTTCAGAAAACTCAATAAATGAAACGGGCGTGTTGCCCATATCCAATAAGGCCGAATGTTTCTAGTCTTGATTGGGCTGAAATATTTAAGCCTATTATTTTTAATATGTTTTGTTTTTAGATGTTTTAGTTTATCACTAGATTCTACGCCGCTAGTAAGATAGAATATATAAAATAATTTTTAAAAAATCATTTTAGTTTAATGATTTGTGTTATGCTATAGATTTGTCAAAATATACTAAATCAATAGTAAAAAAAATTACAATTTTATAATTTATTAATTAAAATTTTATATTTAACTAATTATTTCTCATAATTACTAATAAACTAAAGAAAAATGTTCATTTACTCGGAATGTTACTATTTCAAACACTATATATACTCTCACAATTTACTATTCATCCTTTCACAATTCACTCGTTATTTTCATTATTCATAGTTTTTTTTTACACTTTGGTTTTTGATATTTTCGAAAGTACTTTTCGATCTATATGTTCATTTGCTCATCCATTTTGGTCCCTTAATGGAAAGAGAAAGTTGAGAGAAAAAGAGAGACAGGAAGAGAGAGAGATCGTCGACCAAGCTTATTTATACCACTCGGGCCAATGAAAGTCGACTAGATTTGTTTATCTTTGAGAGATGAATTTGTCGGTAGTGGTTTCAAGCCATTAAACAATTAGAGGAGATAGATTGGAGCCAAAAAAGAAAAAAAAATCCGATTTGATTTTGTAATTTTTTTTTATTTTTGTGTGTATTAAAATGATTTTTAACGTTTTAGATGTGCTTATTGGCTTTATTCCGATCATTTAGAGGTATTTTGAAAAAAAAAAAAAACTATGCCAAAAGTTAATTTCTAGAGATTTGAAAGTTGACCCCTAATTTTTTGACGAACTTCCGACGACCTCGGGTTTGCCGAAAGTTGCAAGTTTGTTTTTTTTTTTCCTTTCAACGGGCAAGCTTGGCATGCGGGTCCGCAATGGCGAGCCCGAGCACGTTGGCTCGCCTACACGAGCCGACCTCGCCGGCCTCCTTCACATTTTTTTTCTCATGTGCAACTTGGTTGCACAAGCCAACCGTGCGTTTGTCCCGGTTTGGCTTACAACCAAGCGCCCCTCCTCTCTCTCTCTCTCCATATATATATTACTTTTATTGTTTAAATTGATTTTTTTAATTATTTGTTTCTTATTAAAATTCACATAAAAGTAATTTTTTATTTAATTTTATTTGTTAATAATTTTATTTTTTTAATATATGAATTTTGAAATGAAATTTTAGTACGTTAGTGTTTTTTTTTAAAACATATCATTATAATTTATACAATGATTTTTTTTTACTTTTTAAATGAAAATTTTTTGTTGATTATTTTTATTATTTAAAATTTTTACTTTAATTTGTCATTTTTTTTAAATTCTTATCCATTTAATTTCAAATTAAATTAAAAATTTTTAAATATTTTTTCACCTATGATTTCATATATTTTTATACATTCACACTATAAAGCAAACTATCAAACTAAAATATTTTTTCTAAATGATTTTATATATTTTCTTCTATCTGCAGCAGTAGCGCGGACAAAAAACCTAGTTTTTATGCTAAAAAAACATAATTTATTTTTTATCCATGAATTCCTAATTTAAAACTTGTAATAATCTAAAAAGAATTTATAAGAAATAAAAAACAAATCCATAATATTTTTTTATAAGACCATGCCTTTAAAATAAAGTAGCAATTGATGAAAAAAACTTGCATAAAAATAAACAAATGAAAAACAAAATTGATTATTATTTAATGTTGATGAGAAAATTAGTTTTTAAAAGTTTGTATATTTGATTTTGATATATTTATTAGTAAAATTACAATATTAGAATAAAATACTCTATTTGAATAATTAGATTGTTCTGTAAAAACATAATTTTAATTATTTAATTTGAAAGAAAATGATTTCATAATATCCAAAAATAAATAAATAAATAGTAAATGTGTTTGTCTTTTGTGATGTTGCATAGTTAATTTCTAATAGAATCAATAATTTAATATATAGTTTTTACATAATAACTATATTGAGTAGGTTTAAAGTTTGCAACATAAAACAAAAAATGTTTTACAAAATAGTTAATTTGTAAGTAATATATTGAATAAATTTGAAGTTAATAGAATAAAAGAAAAACTATTACAAAATTGATTTTTTCCCAATAATCTATAATAATTAAAATCGAAATAAATTGATGAAAAAAACAAACCATGCCTATGCGAGCAAGACTTTAGAAAAAAAAATAATATGACAAAATAAATAGTAATTCTAGACATTAAAAAAAAAAAAAAAAAAAAAAAAAAGACAGGTTGCAACTAATTCATATGCATTTAACCAAGAAATAACCAAAATGATAAATTTCTTCCTATCTATATCTTTTTGGTCTTCAAATATATATAAGAATTTGTAAAGTTTAGAAGAAAAGAATAGAACCGAGTTAATCTAATTTGTTTACCAAAGAAGCGAAAGGAAAAGTGGAGGGTATTAAAAATATTAATGGTTTTTCTACTCTAACTCTTGGCATTTGTCTATCAAAGAGTTTAGTTTGACGGTTTAATGGTAAAACATACCCTCAAACTATTGGGTTATGAAAATTCAAGGTTTATAATATCAATTTAGACTATTTGAATCCTAAACTATTAGTTTTTTAGCAAATTTTATCATTCTTTGTTATTGCCGATCGTTCTTGATTTTTTAAAAAAATTAAAATTAATTTTTATTTTGTTTAATAATAGTTAATTAAAAAAAAACTTAGATGATTTTGTTGTTTATGAATTTGATTTTTATTATAGGGTAATTAATATTGTGTAATAAATCAATCTAGTAAAAAAATGAATCATTATTATTTTTTAAGAATTTAAATTAATTTAAAAAAAATATTTACTAATAATTAGCTTGAAGTTAGCTTAGATAACTTTTGATTCTATTTTGGATAAAATTATTTTATTAATTAATACAACTTCAATTATGTTAACTATTGCAAAATTCACTCTCTATTAAAAAAAAATTTTTGTTAAATATATCTCAAACTAATCATATATAGCTTGGTATCCTTTTAAACATTTTAAAATTTAGGAAACCCAATAAAAACATGTGATATAAGACCAAAATGAAAAAGTATAGCTTTATCAAAACCTACAACAAAGAGAAGAAATAATGGTGCAACGACAAACATTATTATTGAGCATAATTGTTTTGTCCAAGCAAGTAGTAAGTTATAAAAAAAAAAAAAAAGACAAAGACAAAAAAGGAGAATGAAAAAGAAGAAAGTAAGGACAAGAATGTAACTCGGACACCACCACTAATTGCCATAACGTCAATTAAACAAAAAATATAAAAGCGTTAAACGGACAATTGGACGAGACATAAATAAGATTGGGAAATCATCGTAACAAATTAAGCCAAAAGAAACAAAAAAGAGAATGAATGACTTAAAGACATGGAAAAGTGCAAACAATATATGGGTGTTAAATGGACAATTTGAAAAGACAAAAACGATTGGGAAATCAACAAAACAAATTAAGCCGGATAAAATAAAAGAGAGAATGAACGACTTAAAGACATGGAGAAATGCAAGCATATTTAGGTTTAAGGTGTGTTTGATAACCTATTTAAGTCGCTTAAAAAATTAAATTGTAGTATTTAATATAAAACGTTTGTTTCATAATCTAAATAATCTCATATTTAAAATTTAAATTCAGTCAAAATCTACTTAATTAGGTGAGTTAAATTTTTTAACTTAAATTTTTTTTTATTAACACACTCGGTTGAAAGATTTTTAAGATTTTTTTTAATATAACTATATAATCCTCATATATTTTTATAACTCTACCTATACAAATCTATTATGAAACAATTTCTACTATCCCCGTTAACTTTCTCCATTATGGAGACCAAATTTTGATATTTTTTAACCGTGGATAGGAGGACACAACCCCATCGGCTTTAACGCCAAAGGTGAAGACGATGAACTTTCTCATACTATATATTATGCTTATATAAACATTTTCTAGTTAATTCTTGAAACCAAACTAGGTTGTATTGAACAAAGGAGAAACTTTTTGTTTGCAAGAATGACAAAAAAAGCGTAGAGCAAAAGATCCTTGCACAACCACAAAGCAACACTCAAAGAAACTCGAGTTCATGGTTCTTCAAGATCGTTTCTCTTATTATACTAAATTACATGTTGAAGAGTTTGTATTGCTACCTTACATGAGAAAAATTATTACAAGTTCTAGAAATAAAGGTTATACATTGATTAGAATGTGAAAATGCTTCACATGCTTGATTATTAATTCAAAAAAAAATGTTCTTTTCTTTATTAGAAGTTATTTGTGTGACGCCCACACCTCAATCCACTCGTCTATTACCTAACTAAGAGTGACTAGGCGAGGTGCGTCACGCCGACATGACCTAAACCCTAATCATCTCTCATAAGACATACTTAAGAAATTAACAAGACATTACATAACGAAATAACGTATAATACAATGTACCTAACACTACCAAATACAGACGGACGAAATTACAAATATTTTATTTACCCTACCATCAAAATGTCTACCGATACCCCAACCTAAAATTATTTACACTCAAAATAAACTTTGGTATGTTTGTGTCGTGCATGAGCCTTTTTGGAGGATCCGTGCAGCATCCTTATCGGTACTATAGTCACCGCTATCCGTCATAACATGCAAATAACAACAAGGTGAGCCAAAGCTCGGTAAGTGGGGTGATGCACGTGATATACAATGTTTTTTTGACTTCCCATCATACTCATCAATTTTAATTCTGCGTACCCTGGATACTAGCAAGTCTACTCTATTTTTAATCCAAATGATTAACGAATCACCTTCCGTTAACAACGAAATTATCCCTTGTTGTAGCCATTGTTAGCACGAATCCATCGTCTAACAGATGCCGACACACGACTTAGAGTACGCATACAGTTGGATCGCTAATACCCATTTATTCGTTTTAGGTTACCAAACCTAATCAT